TGGGACCAGGTATGATATATCTTTTCATATAAAAGAATTTAGAGTTTAATATTTTTATTTTGATATTCGAGTTTAATATATTTTGCTTCTCAGAATCTCATAAAATAAAATTTATGAAGGAAGAAATGTTAGCAAAAATTAAGTGTGATTGCATTCCGCGGAAAAAGCCGCATTGTATAAGTTTTTGCTTATCCTTTTTTTATTATTATTATTATCGCTAAATTTAATTTGAATGGTAGTTTAATGGGTTAAATGTAATAGATTATTAGGCTCTTGTTAAAATGAAATGTATTTAACTGCTCTTTTTTCCGTTAGAGGACTAATACATATTTTTTTCCCTTGTAAGAATGCACCATCTTAAATGGACATTTTAACAATACTCCTTTTTATTTCCTTTTGGAAAATTTCTTCATGGAGTCCAATATTGGGCCAGTTCTTGGAAGTGTAGTAGGCGAACATGTAGATTGTCACAGAAACTTCCAAAATGATGTGGATGATCTTAGAAAAAGAGTGGCAGATCTAAAACGCAGAAGAAATGATAAAGTAGCAGAACTACGAATAGTGGATGACTTGGAAAAACAAGTTAAAGAAGAAGTGCAGGGATGGCTTGAAGATGCAAGGAGGTTTATTGAAATTGAAATGCCAGATATTGAAGAACAGGTGCAGAATGTTTCATACTTGTCACGTGGTAGCCTTGGAAGACGTGTCCGTCAAAAGATTCAAGATGTGAGGGAAATTTATAATCGGGGTAGTTTCCCTGAAAGTCTTGTAATTGAAAGGCCTCCGCCTATTGGAATCACTTTGCCAATCGAGAATATGGTGGGCGAGGTTGATGTGAAGGAAAAAATTTGGGGATACTTGATGAGTCACGAGGTTGGAATTATTGGAGTTTGTGGAATTGGTGGAGTTGGCAAAACCACTGTTATGAAACACATCCATAATGAATTGCTAAATGAGGCTACTAAGTTTAAGAAAGTTGTTTGGGTTACAGTATCACATCCACTCATTGTTTTTAGATTACAAGGTGACATTGCTAGTGCAATGAACAAAAGTCTTCCCGATTATGGGGATGAACTGAACCAGGCATCGAGATTGATGGAGGTTATGAAAACAGTAAAATATGCATTGATCTTAGATGATGTGTGGGATAAATTTACTCTTCATAGAGTTGGCATCCCAGAACCAACAACCGAAAATGGGTGCAAAATTGTTATTACTAGCAGATCGGTTGATGTATGCAACTACTTGAGATGTCAGATGGTTAAGGTGCCACTTCTTTCAGCACAAGAGTCTTTGAACTTGTTTTTAGATAAGGTTGGGCGAGACATTCTACGAATTCCTAAGTTGGAAGAGATTTTGAAGCTTATGGTTGCTGAATGTGCTGGTTTGCCATTGGCCATTGTTGTCATTGCTGGGAGCATGAGAGGAGTAGAAGATATCTTTGAGTGGAGAAATGCATTACGTGAATTGCGTCAATGTGTAGTAAATACAGAGAAAGATTCAGAAGATGAGATATTTAATCGCTTGAAGTTCAGTCATGATCGTCTACGAAATTCAAGCATCCAGAATTGTTTCTTATATTGCTCATTATATCCAGAAGATTGGGTTATTAGAAAAGAAGATCTAATTGAAAACTGGATTTGTGAGGGACTTGTTGAAAAATTAGGGAGCAGAAGAGAAATGCATGATAAAGGACATGTTATTTTAAATAGGCTTTTAAACAATTGTCTGATAGAGGAAGCCAATAAAAGGGAAAATGTTAAGATGCATGATGTTGTAAGGGACATGGCATTGCGTGTTAAGAGCACCGGTCCAAGTAAGTTCATGGTGAAAGCTAAAATGAGATTGACAGAGATACCAGAGGAGGATGAATGGACTGAAGATCTAGACAAGGTTTCCCTAATGGAAAATGAAATATCATATATCCCTATAAATATGTTCCCAAAATGCTTGATGCTCTCAACCTTAATTTTGAAGGGTAATGCAGAATTGAGGCAAATTCCAGAGTGTTTTTTGGCAAACATGCCCCTACTGAAGTTTCTTGACCTTTCTTATACTGGCATTGAGGCTCTACCGAATTCTATATGTAGCTTAAAAAATCTTACAACACTAATTCTCTGTGGATGTCAGAGATTAGAACGCATGCCTTCCTTGTCAAAGCTTAAAGCACTAAAGAAGTTGGATTTGGATGGAGCAGGCCTTTGTGTGGCTCCTGAAGGCATTGAAATGTTAGAAAATCTAGAATATCTTCATTTATCTTGTCCAAACCTGAGGGAGCTACCAGTAGGAATAATCGGTAAGCTCTTCCGCCTCCAATACCTACGTAAACATCAGATTTTTTCTACTGAAGTAAGAGTAGAGGAAGTAGCAAGATTGAAGATGCTGGAATGTTTTGAAGGTGGATTTGATTTGCTGAAAGACTTCAACAGTTTTGTTAGCAAGTTGAAACATTTTGGAAGAGGCAGTCATTACTGGCTTACAACAGCAGTGCCAGAAGAAGACAGAGAGGGGTATTTTTGGAAATTCACCAAAAATGATGCTCTTAAAAGGGTAACTTTATTCAAATGCAAGATGGGGGGAGAAGATGAGTTGGTGCTTCCAGATGACCTTCAGGATTTGAGGATTGAACGCTGGAATACAGTCCATGATATTACTAATTTTCTAAAAAATTTGACTCAATTACGAACGTATGCTTTGGATGGGTGCGAAGCAATAGAGTGTGTGGTCACCTCATCGTCCTTGATGGTTATGAATAATCTTGAAGAACTATCTCTTTGGAGTTTGTGTAGCTTGCGAGATCTTGTAAAAATGGAAAAAACAATATCCTCTCACATCTTTTCAAATCTTAAAGAGTTGAATGTAGTGGCCTGTTCAAAATTGAACAAGTTGTTTCCATGTGAGCTGCTGCAGTGTCAGGGCCTCCAAAACTTGGAGGAGATTCATGTTGAAGATTGCTTGGGAATGGAGGACATAATGGGATGGGAAGAAGAGGAAGGAAATCAAACAACTACTACTGCAACATTTACTCTTCCAAAATTAAGGTCATTGTACCTGGATTGTTTACCAGAATTGAAGAAAATATGCCCAGAAAGAGGAGTTATGGATTGTGTTTCTCTCGATTCCATTTGTATCAAAAACTGTCCTAAGGTAAAGAGGATTCCAATAAAGAGGATTCCCCTTTGTCTTGGAAGGGAGAACGGGCTGCCAGCTCTTCCTGCTATCAAAGTTGAAATTTATAATCCAAAAGAATGGTGAGAATCGGTGGAGTGGGAGAATCCTGACAATAAAAATGTCCTCCGACCTTTCCTCCAATATGATAGGTAAGTCTCATTACACTCCCTTTTTCCATCACTTGCATTCCTATCCTCCTCTCTCTGGTATTTCATAAATAAATGTTTTTATCTCTTGTTTACACTATCTTGTTTCTAAATGAATCCAAGTGTTAATCTGTGTTGATTTGCTCCATTGTTTAATCTTGATCAATTTGCTCCTAATTCAGATGTCTATCTCCCTTAATTGGATGCTAATTCCTTTTTAATTACTCGCAGTCGTGGCGCTTGGGTACACATTTCTCATCTGCCTGTCCGGCATTGAAGGTTTGTATAGCAATTCCATCAACAAGGATTGACTAGTTTCAGTTTCAAATGCCCAACCTAGATATATATGTCATGTTCTAAGGAAACAGTTGTTTTTAGGTTTCTCAAGGACTCAAAATGTCAACCTGAATGGATTTATTGGTGACTACTGACTATCAATCCTGACTACTGACTATCAATCTGGCCAATCCGCGTCCAATTTCTAATGCCTAACCCAGCTATGTCATATATGTTTTCAGGAACCTTTTTTTTTTTTCCTTTTTTTTGGCTGACTATTATTTGCTTCCTTAGAATTAAGTGATTTCTCCATACATCCTTGGAGTAAGCTGCATCTCTTGGCTCTTGCCATCTCAAAACTATTTTCTTCAACTCAGCAACATATATAACAAGGAAAACAAAAGAATGGGACTCACACTCACTTCAATCCAATGCAATCTTTGTTTTAATTTGTTTTTTAGTGCCATGGATGAGCGGCTTTGTTTAATTAATGCTTGTTTAAGTAACATTTGTTTTATTTACGTTGTAATAACCAGTAAAACAGATATGAGAAATTTTTTGTTTTATGTTTGTGACTTTCACTTTTATTGGGCCACGTTATTCTGGTCGGCAAGAGGTTGCGCTTCAAAGCCGAAACAAGATTACGTGGCCCAATAAAAGGGGAAGTGTTGGCCGGAGAGTGCAAGAGGCGAGTGCCCCTAGCACTGCTCTGTTGTTTTGTTCATCAGACGTCTTTAGCTAATTTATTTTGGTTTAATTTCCTCACGATATATATAATTTTTCTCCGTTTTTTTTATCTCAGTTATTTTTTTGCACCGAATTAATTACCCTGCACAAGAAGTACGGAGGTCTGCCCACTTGTTCTCTTTGGTCATGCGATTTTTCAAGCCCGCTGAGCTGGGGACCAGGTACTTTTTTTTCTTAAAAAAGAATTTAGAGTTTAATATATAATCTGCTTTTAATAAAAGAATTATATATAGAAACTAAGAAATTTTTTAACAATTTATTACAATATACATCATGTTTTGTTCATCAGACGTCTTTA